CAATTGGTGTCGATTTTAAAAGTTTGAAAAATTTTATAAAAATATATTTTTGAAAAAATTCTACGAAATTTAATTTTTAATTTATTAACTTTGTAGGGCACCCAAATTACAATTTCCAACTAATTGACAAAATTTTTCATACAAGTGATTTTATATATTATTTTTTCTTGCAGGTCTAATATCATAATGACACGCTCATGCATAGTTATGTCAGCATTTAAGGTCATTTGGCATTTCACTCTAATTTCATAATTTATTGAATTTTTTTTTTAAGAATTTGTTTGTAAATATGTGGAATATATGACGAATTTTATAATAAAAGTACGCTATGCCACAGAAAAAAATTGTAGCCAACGCTGAGGCAGCAAATTATTGCATATATATAAAAACAATAATTATTGTAACAATAACAAATAAATATCACACGATTAATACAATCAATACTACCACACACATACACATAAACACCTTCATTTACGCAGTGAAGCCCAATTTTCCGTGTTGTCAAGTGGCACATGCATTGCACTGCCGCCTGTTTCGTCGAAAAAATATTTTAAAAAATACGGTAGCGCAAATTATTTACGTAATACTCGCATTACAATCGAGCAACGGTACAATTCAAGTGGAAATTTTGCGATTGCCCTCTTTGTGCGGTAGTTAAGACTTAAGTGGTTTGTCCAAAGAATTATATTTTTTTTTGCAATTTACAACAACAACAAGTTCTTCCTTATCTTATCAATTATGCGCAGTGCTTGAATGTGTTCTCGAAATATTTCATTTGTGAAGCGCTGCGAACAATGATTTGGTGATTTTGTACGAAATTGGATAATTGACGCGTTTTTGGTGCGTCTCAAGGAAATGGGAAAAACTAAATTGAAATTGTGACGTATTAAAAAAATACATATATACATTTATATCGGTGTATAGCCTGTCTCTTATACACATCTAGATGTTTATCATCCATATGTACACATATGTACGCTTAGATATATGTATGCACATTTCAAAAGACGTGGTGGATTATTTAAGAAAGGATAAACAAAAAGGACAGCCAGAAAAAT